ATAATTGTGTGGGGGGTGTAAAAGCAAATTGACCCAGAGCAAAACCACGACATTTTTTGATGGAGAATGTGGGCAGAGACTGCCCGGAGAGGCAGTGGCAGAATCAAACCCCAACATCCACCAGCTTCCTCAGCACCCTTGGGTGGATCCCATCTGGCACCATAAACTTGGGAGAGTGTAGGAGGCACATCAGGTCACTAGATACTTCCTGGTTTAGGGGGACTTCATTCCATTCTGATCTGACTTTTACAGATTGAGGCAAAGAAGGCATTAAGTACCACAGCCTTCTCCTCATCCTTTGTGGCAATATTTCACCTCCAATCCAAAAAAAGGATGGAGATTCTGCTTAGCCCTCCTGTCTCTCCTAGTGGACATGTAAAAACAATTCCTGTTATCTCTTACAGCACTAAGAATATTCACAGGACACAGTGATTGCATTTCTGTCCCCCAGAAAATAAAGGCATCATCATTCTGAAGAGAAATTGCTGGGGATTTATTTCTTGTAGCCCCAGAACCATTTGCTCTGATTTCAGTATTTTCTGGTTACACCACAGCATCAGCTGAGGCCTCGTTGGTACCTGTGGTCCCAAGGTCCTGTATTAACCCACAATCCAAGGGCACTCCATGACCTACAGAGCATAGCAGACCCTGTCTGTTTTAAAAAACCATAACCTTTCAGGACCTAAATTCATTAGAAAGCTTGAGGGTATTTAGATGAGGGGGGAATCCAGGATGGTCCCACCCCCAAAACTTTTCAGATTTGCAGCAGATGTGTTTGAACCCTTGCACAGGGACTCCTGATTATGTTTAACCTCTTCCCTTATATGCTTTCAATTGAGCTTCTGGAAAAGAGATTCTCCTTCAACACCCCCTCACCCACACACATGATGTGGCTCTTCACTTAAGGCATTACCATGGAGAAAACTTACATGGATTTCAATGCCTGTGAAGGATCAAAAGGAACTCCAGTTACAGCAGCTCAAATAAAATTTGCAGCTCTGGGACTCCTGGATGAAAGAGCACAGTGACTCTCCTCACTGTACTCTGCTGAGAGCAAACCCTGCTGACCAAGAACATCATTGCTGGTCAAGGAACAGAAGAACATAGATCCTGAATCCTCACAGGGATCGAACAAGGGTCAGTCACAAAATCACAACATTGTCCTCCGCATAAAAACATCTCCACTCCTTGTGTCACTCAACACAGCCCTCCTGAACCAACATTCAAATACTGCAGAGTGACACTGACACCAGGTAAGGGGACACCCAGCACATTTACATCCCTGCACCTGCCCTGCTCTCAAGGGGAGCGGCACCACAATCCCCCCCACCAGCAGCTCTATAAAGCTCCTCTTTCCAGATGGGACACTCAGGGATCAGCAGCCGCTGACTCGTGCATGGCATTGGTGCAACAGACCCCTTGTCCAGCACAGCACTGCTCCCAGCTCCCAGGATGGAAGCTTGTTACTCTCAACAGCAATTCAATGTCACCTCATATGGTGCTGCATCTCTGGCCATCATCACCTTTGAGGCATTTGCTGGCATGTGGATAAATGCTTTCATTGTTTCTGTGATTTGCATGACCTGGGTGAGAAAGAAAACCTTGAACTCTAATGAGAAGATCTTGCTGGCTGTGGGATGCTCCAGGTTTTGGTGTTTGTGCATCTCATGGGTATTTTCCTTTCTGTCACTAATTTACCCCAATTACCTTCATGTTCACCACATATTTCAGCTAAGTAATAGTGCTCAGAACTTTCTTAATTGTTCCAACTTTTGGATTTCAGCCTGTCTTTGTGTCTTTTATTGTATAAAAATTGCCACTTTCAGGAGCAGTTTCTTCATCTACCTGAAACTAAAAGTTGACAGGATGGTACCCTGGCTCTTGTTGGGGTCAGTGTTTTTCTCCCTGGTTATCGGAGCCGCTGTCTACAACGTCGCTGATAAAGCCCTCTGTAAAAACCTCAATTTGACCTGCCAAGAATGTATTGGGAAAGCAAGGATCAGAAGAGAGGAACATTTTCTCCGCGTTTTTTTTGTCATTGGCTTTGGATATGCCACTCCATTCACAGTAGTCATCTTTTCTGCCCTTCTGCTTCTCTTTTCCCTCTGGAGACACAAACGCAACATGCAGACAAACTCCATGAAGGACCTCAGCATGGATGCCCACATCAAAGCCATGAAATGCATTCTCTCCTTTTTCATAATGTACAGCATCAACTTTGTATTTTTTGTCTTGACACTGACTTCTGCAATTAAGAGGCAAAATCACCTGAAGTTTCTTTTTTACGTATTACAGTTTGTATTCCCGGGTTTTCATTCCCTTATTGTAATTTTTGGCAATCCCAATCTGGAAAACACACTGCTAAAGATTCTATCCTATATGAAATGCAAGTTTTGCGTGAAGTAGGCACTGGAACAACAGCTGGACCCTTTGCAAAATGTGACTATTTCTTTAGAGCAAACAAGTCAATTAATTTCCAGGGCAACTCTCCAGCCAGCGTAGATGATCCAGATGTTCAGAATACATCCTTCAAAGTCTTTGAACTTATATTGTTGTGATTTAAATCTATTAATTATCTCATTTCATTTAGACAGTTTTCAGAGCTAAGTTACTGTCGATAGCAAAATCATTTTGACCTTGTATACATTGACTGGCTGCAAAAGGGCAGTAACAATAGTGCAAATCTGCAACAAATGCTTCTTGATCTGCTGATTGAAATGACTGAACTAAAGAACAGGTTTCTGTCTGTTTTAGTTGACATTCCTTGCTGCTGTGGCCCTGTTCTCGTGGAAGATGATGAGCTGTATCACTGTCTGGCAGGGGTTGATAACTGATGTGTGAACGTGTTGATCCCTGTCAGTCTCCAGAGCTGTCACTGAAACACAAGCAGCGATGCAGGAATGGCCGTGAGGTGCACAGGTGGGTGCAGAGCCCACTTCCCACACCAGCCCTGAGTGTCCTCTCTGCCCCACTTCCTGCAAGAACAGGATTGCCCCACTCTGTGGGACTGCTCTCCCACTCTGCTTTTACTTCTTTGTGTGCATTGAGCAGCGTGGAATAAATTCCTGCTGTCAACTGGCAGTGACCCACGGGCAGATGTACGGGGTGCTCGGGCCAGGTGCTGGCTGCTGGGGATCTGTGGGGGTCTCAGTGAGGCAAGGGCAGGGCTGCCCTGTGCCAGGGAAAGCCACTTCAAGGCGTTTTTTCAAAGGGCCCCCTGCTTCTTGTGCTGCAGAAGGGGTTCCCCTACAGCCCATGGAGAGGACTATGGTGAGCCAGCTCTGCTCCTTGCACCCCGTGGAAGTCCATGGTGGAACAGGGATCCACCTTCAGCCCTTGGATGACCCCACACAGAGCAGGTGGGGTGGGTGAATGATTGCAACTCATGGAGCTCTTGCAGCTCATGGAGAGCTCACACTGTAGCCAGTTTATCCTGATGGACTGCAGTCTGTGGAAGAGACCCACACATGAGCAGGGGAAGAGCGCGAGGAAGGACTGAAGCAAACAACTTGTTTTGTTCTCACTGTCACCCCCATTGCCCATCCCATTGTGCTGCTGGGAGGGATGAGGAGGTAGAGAATCTGAGAATGAGTTGAGGCTCAGATGATTGGAGGCTGGAGACCAGGTGTTCTAGTTTTGTGTTTATTCCTCTTCCTCCTACTCTCTTTTCAATAGGCAATAAATTCCACTGATTTTTCCCAAGTCGAGTCTGTTTTGTCTGTGACAGTAATTGGTGAGTGATCTCCCTGTCTTTATCTTGACACATGAGCTTTTCCATCCTATTTTCCACCCCTGCCCTGTGGTGGAGTGAGAGTGAAGGAGCAGCTGGGTGGAGAGTCTGACAGCTGCCCACGGTCAACCCACCATGACAGGGCCTGTAAACATGAAGCAGACCAGTGTTGAGGAACACATTCTGTGCAAACAGCTCGGTGTGCAACCACAGTGAGAGCTGCAGGTTGTGTGGAAATGGAGGGAGCCCCAGGCATGGTGCCAATGCCTTGCACAACAAAGGGCCCAGGGACCTGTGGCACCACCCAGGTGATTGGACACTCAGAGACACAGCAGGAGCAAATGAGTCAGAAGGAAGACCCCAAAATATCAGCTGCATACACTGGAAGGGTACAAAACCCAAAGCTGTGAATCCCTTCTCACAGGCACCCAGATCAGACTGCTTCTGTGTTACTGTGCCATGATTGAATTGCTTTAAAGATCCAGACATCTGAGACTCTGCTATGGGAAACCCAGTGTGCAGCAGGTAAGGAAACCTGGTCTTACTCTGGGGCTGTGGTTTGTGTAGGGGCTCAAGTGGGGCCCCCATGAGCTCACAGGAGCTGCCCCCTGCAAAGGGGCTTTGGTCCCAGCAGTGAAAGGCTCTGGTATGGGGGTGGAACTGCCAGAGAGCCTCGTGGATGGGGAGACAGGAAAGTTCCCTTAATACCAGCACAGAGCAGAACCTCAAATATTTCCTTACTTCACCAGCTCAGGCAGCTCAGGGGGATCTTTTACCTCATGCTCAGACCCACGAGTACATTTCTCATAATATTAAAAGCTTCAAAAATTGTTTTGAGAGCACACCCTGCTCATTAAAACATCACTGGTGGCCAAGACCCTGCTCATTAAAACATCACTGGTGGCCAAGAGACAGAAGAACACAGATCCTGAATCCTTACAGGAATCAAACAAGGGTCAGTCACAGGATCACAACACTGTCCTCTGCACAAAAACATCTCCACTCTTTGTGTCACTCAACACAGCCCTCCTGAACCAACATTCAAATACTGCAGAGTGACACTGACACCAGGTAAGGGAATACCCAGCACATTTACATCCCTGCACCTGCCCTGCTCTCAAGGGGAGCGGCACCACAATCCCCCCCACCAGCAGCTCTATAAAGCTCCTCTTTCCAGATGGGACACTCAGGGAACAGCAACCGCTGACCTGCGCTTGGCATTGGTGCAGCAGCCCCCTTGTCCAGCACAGCACTGCTCCCAGCTCCCAGGATGGAAGCTTGTCACTCTCCAGAGCAATTTAATATCACCTTATACATGGCCACATTTGTTGCCGTCGTCACCCTTGAGGCATTTGCTGGCATGTGGATAAATGCTTTCATTGTTTCTGTGACTTGCATGTCCTGGGTGAGAAAGAAAACCTTGAAGTCTAACGAGAAGGTCTTATTGGTTGTGGGATTCTCCAGGTTTTGGTATTTGTGCATCTCATGGATATATTCCCTCCTTGCAATAATTTCTTTCAAATACCTTCATTTTCACCAAACACTTCAAGTTGTTCTATTTATTTATACCTTCCTTAATTATTTCAACTTGTGCGTTTCAGCCTGTCTTTGTGTCTTTTATTGTATAAAAATTGCCACTTTCATATCGCGTGTGGGTTCAGGGACCCCCGCAACAGACCCAGTGGCACATTTTGTATGGGAGAAAGGACACACACGAGATGTGACCCACAAAATGGCATTTATTTGAACAGGGTGTCAGCTTATATACAGGGGGATACAGGAGTTTCGAGAATAAGGTGGGTTTCTTGCTTGGAACATCAAATCCCAAGATTCAATGATAAGGAAACTTGAAGGGATAGGCCCAGGGGATATGTTTGGCCATATACGGAGAGGGGAGAGCAAGGAAGGAGTGGTGAGGGGCACAGACAGGGGGTCTTCAAGGGTTTGTGAGACTGCTTCTTATCATTGGACTCAGGCATATCCTGCAGCTGCAGTTGTCAAGGCACTCCTAGATGGATTTCTTCCTCTGGGGCCTCTTTGCAGCCTTCCTGCATCCTTCTCCATTGTCTGTAGGCCTCTGTGGGCCCACTTCCGACACTTTCAGGAACAGCTTCTTCATCTACCTGAAGGTAAAAATTGACAGGATGGTGCCCTGGCTCTTGTCGGGGTCAGTGCTTTTTGCCTTGGCTATCAGTATCCTTGCCTATGATATTGCTTGAAAACTGCACAGTAAGGATCGCAATTCCACCTGTCCATTAAATTTTTTGAAGGAAAGTATCAAAATTCATGAACATTTTTTCCATATTTATTTCATCACTGACTTTGGATATGCTGCTTCATTCATGGCGGTCATCTTCTCTTCCCTTCTCCTTCTCTTTTCTCTCTGGAGACACAGATGCAACATGCAGACAAACTCCATGAAGGACCTCAGCATGGATGCCCACATCAAAGCCATAAAATCCGTTCTCTCCTTCGTAATTGTCGTGGTTTTGCCCACCAGCCCATCCCTGGGGCTGAGGATGGTTTTGTCCAGGTAATTTCCGGACAAAAAGGCCAATCAAAAGTCCAGTGACGCCTTTGCTAATTACATCTTCAAGAAAACGGAAGAGAAGGTTTGTTTGCGCAGTTGAAATTAGGGGCAGCAGCCATGTAGGGGAGAGGAGTAGCG